CTCCTACAATAGTTGCTGTTGCACCCAATCCCACCACCCCTGCTCCCCTCAACCACCACCACTAGTCACAGACCCACTTCTCCAAGCCATTGCTTCTCATCTCATCCAATCCAACCCACCAGATCCCTACTCTTGCCATCCCAAACTCCGCCACCAAAACCCTCAACCCACCCACAAATTCCTACACCCAAAGCCTCGTTTGCACCAACAAGAACAGCAAGAAGAACAGCAGCTGCACGCCCACTCAATTATCTCCTCCCTCCTCTCCCGCATCGAAGCCCTCGAAGCCTCTCTTCACCGCTACTCTTCCTATCGTTCTCAGTCTTCGTATTCGCGCTCTCTCAGAGACTCAGCTGCTCGAGTTATTCAAACCCACTTCCGTGCCTTCCTTGTTCGCAGATCACGAACCCTCAGGCAGCTCAAAGACCTCGCCTTTATCAAGTCTGCTTTCAACTCTCTCAAATCCTCCATTTCCAATGATACCCACTTCGATTTTCACGCCGTTTCTCAAAAAGCCATCGACTTGCTTCTTAAGCTCGACTCTATTCAGGTAAACCATTCATGGGCATTTGTTCATTTTTATTTATTTATAATCAAGTTACTCTTCTGTTTCGATTTGCTTAGAGATTTTGTTTGGGCACCTTGTCTGCAGTGTGGTGATCCGATTGTTAGGGACGGAAAAAGGTCTATTAGCAGAGATTTGGTTCGGTTCTTGGAGTTCATTGATGGGGTTGTCATGAAAAGGCATGGGCTTTCACTGAAAGCAGTGAAGAATGCGAGGTTTGGTCAAAATGTTAACAAATCTAGGGTTTTGCCCACCAAGTGTGATGATGTGGGAAGGGATCAGAGGGAAATGATTGGTAAATTGAGGGATAGAATTGAGAAGATTCGTGGGTTTGCTAGAGTTTCTGAGAATGATGAGGAAGATGTGGAACTTGAAGGGTTTCAACATGTCAGTGATGAAGATGAAGAAAACCTTATGACTCGATTTAAAAATGGGGTATTGGTGAAAAGACATGGGCTTCAACCTAAGGTGAAGAAAAATGTGAGCTTTGCAGAGAATGGGAATGTGTATAGGGTCTTTAGCAACTCTGATGAACCAGTTTCAAGTGGAGATGGGAGTGATTCTAGTGATGATCATGGAGAGCTTGTGGAGAACCTTCGCAGTGAGGTTGAAGATGTTAAGGGCTTTGCTCAGGAGACTCAGGATGATGATGAGGCACACACCGAGAATGATGGATCACCGCAGGCCAGTGATGGAGAAAGAAACCCCAGAGCCAGAATGACTCAGAGAAGAGAAGACATCTATGAAACCAAAGTCCATGATCTGAGCCAGAATGGTTATTTGCTATTCTCTGCTCCTTTGCCCGTGAAGATGGAGTCTAAAGCAGATATCATAAAGAGAAACAAGGCTGTGAAACTAGTAAAATGAAGGGCTGTAACCTGAGTTTATGTTTTAGGTTCTCCAAATTTTTTGTGGCTATGGGGGTGGATATGAGGTCTTCGCAATTGTATTTTCCACAAATGTTTCTGATTAGGTTAGATTGATTAGAAGATCACCATGAAATAGATGTGTAGTGTTTGTCCGATCCTTCCTGTCTACTGCTGAGAGAGGGGTCCCATATCTATTCTGCAGATGTAACCTTACCCCTGAAGATTCTATGTTTTTTGGATGATGACTTTAACCAAGTTTCTTTTGCAATGTTGACTATGAATAGGGCTTGCATATAGCTAGCTTTTTCCTCCATTCCTTCTTACCATTAGTTATGTTTATATGAGGAATTATTGGCAGTGTGGCCTGGTAACGTGTTTTCATGCCAAAACTTTTCATTTCGTTGCCAGGGGAGGTTGTCGCTCGTGGAAGTGTTTTCGGAGTACGAGGAAATTAAAGATAAGGGTGGCATCAAAATTCCAGTACCACAAATCTCAAATTCAAATGGTTTAATGATAATTTCATCAGTTATCACTCCACTAATGGTATGCAGATGCCAAAAAATGCAAAGACACCATAATGAAACTTTCATACAAATAAAGAACCAATGCAGACTAACGAAACTTGTTTCATGGGGATAAAATGGACAACAGAAAGCCAAGTTCTTCGGCTGCTGCTCCAAACTTATTGCTTATATTTTCTTTTAACATGAATTGTAATCAACAAACACCGAAAGAAAGAACGAAAAAAAAAAAAAAAACCCTCATCTCCCATCTTCCACGGACTTCCTGTGTTGGAAAACATTTTATTTTAATTCTCCTACAAAAGAGAGGTACTGAAGTTTGACACAGAGGAATGACTATCTCAACAAAAGTAACTTGCCATTGCATATTCACCTGAATCCTTCAAACACAAACAATTACTATCATGTCCAGGGCACTTGCAGTAGAGCATAAGTAACTCAGCTTGATGACTGTTCTGGCATGTATTTGGTGAAGTTGTTTTCTGTAGAAGAGTCTCCTTGTTTTACGTTTCTGGTGGTCGAGGGGAACTCAGTACCTGACTAGCAATTGTGGCATCATCACCTCGATAGCTTGTCCCTGCCCTAGTTTCTAGTTTTGGGGCATTGATTTCATGGCATTTCTTTTTGCACCAACAATTTTAACTCTAGCTTCTCTTAGGGCGTTCAATGCCACCTTAAAAATTTGGTCAGATGCCATCCCTTCCTCTGCACATTTAATGGCTTCCTGGTAGAGAATGTTGTATTGCAAGTTCCTGCCTTTCTGAGAATTGGCCTGTAATTCGACACAGGGAAGTAAATCCAACATAACCTCTTCCTTGGCATTTCTTGTCCATCTTTTTAAGATATAACACTGTGGGAGTGTAAAGACATTAGTTGCTTTAAACACTGCAAGCACGTGTCTGCAAAGGATCCCTTCAAATTCAAACATCTTGCAACTACAACTAGCTAGTTGTTCTGCTATATTAAAAGCCACGAAATACGTTTTATGTTCTTCATCAAACCTGGATACCTCATAAGTGCTGGTTCCTCCATCCTCTGTACTTAATTTCACAGCAAACAAAAGAGATTCAAAAACCTCATCCTGAAATATGGTGAACATATTTCTTGTGTAGATATCTGCTCCTTGCTTTTCCACAGGAAGTGGTGTTTTTAGAACTGGTTTAGTATAAAAAGTTTCAAACTCTGCCTTTGCTTCTTTCTCATATCTTTCATCTAAAGCCTTCTCATATTGCTCCGCAAAATCTTGTAAGGTAGTTCCCGAATTCACATAGCCATCAAAAAGTGAGTTCACACTTCCACTCCGCTGGGCAGCATACATCCCTGCAAAGAATGTATCTCTCATGTATACTGGGACCCACAATTTGCGATCAATACAAAGTGATTGAAGCCAATTATTCCCTCTAAGATTGTACTTATCAAGAAGCATCTGCCAAGTTGATTCAAATGCATCAGGCGTCTCACTCTTGTTAATGCATCTATCAAATTCAACTTGAAAAGTCCTTGGGGTTACACTATATACATGTCCCAATTCCTTCGGCATCTTGCTTATGATATGCCACTTGCAATATCGATGGCTTGATTGAGGAAAAACTTGTTGCACTGCTCTACTTATGGCAGGATCATAATCAGTTATGATTAAACCTGGTTGTCGTCCAGACATTGCCTCAAGCCAAGTTGTGAAGAGCCAACTGAAGGTGGATTCGGTCTCATCTGCAAGCAATGCACAGCCAAAGAGAACTGAATGTTTGTGATGATTTACTCCAGTAAAAGTTGCAAATGGCATTTTATACTGATTCACTTGATAAGTAGTATCAAAGGCTACAACATCAGAGAAACAGTTGTAAGCGATTCTTGATCTTGTGTCAACCCAAAAGACACTACTCAGCCTCTCTTCTTCATCAACCTGTATTGCATAATAAAATGCAGGATCATTGGCTTGCATAATCTTAAAAAACCCAAGCAAACTTTGGGCATCAATGCCAAAAGTGCTCAACCGGCCTCTTCCAATATAATTGACATTACTCTGTACAGCAAATTCCATTTTGCCAAAACTGCTACAATCAGTCAAGACATCCACGGGAGCATCCAAAGACAGTCCAGGAGAACTGAAGGAGTTGCTACAACTTTTTTCAGGACCAAAGTCTTGCTTATGTGACCTAAGAAAATGCCGCATCGCAGGAGTCACTAACTCATGATTATGGTTCTTCTCTAGTTTTGCCACATACCATCTTCCACAGTCACGTCTCCTCACAGTCATCAGCGCCTTGCAACCTTCCCTAGTGAGTGCCCTAGCACGCCTCCTTTTTGCATCCTCGCCTGAATCTTTCTTTGCATGTCTCTCCCGGCGAAAGCCTTCTTTTGAACAACAAAACTCTCGAGATATAATCGAATTGTCCTTTTTTGAACGATAGTATGAGTTCACACGAATACTAAATCCCGTTTGTTTAGCATATGCATTATAAAAATTCCTAGCATCATCTTCAGAAGTAAACTCCATACCCAGTGTAGGCTCTACAACCCCACCTCCTATATACTGCGACAAGTCAAAATCCACATAACCCTCTTTGCCATCATCCAATACCACCGGAGCTTCAACCTCCTCTGCAACAGAATGTTCATAGCCCTCATCTCCCAGTGCCACAAAGGAGTCTACTCCTTTAGCTTCACACTCACTGGAAGGCACTACCTCCATGATATATTGCTCAATCCCCTCTTGCATTACAAATTAGGGTACCCTTCATTTCTGAAAGGCTTACAACTCAAACAAATGGGTGCCCTTCAACTCTGTTGTTTCTCTCACTACAGGCTGTATAGAAATCAAAAGAGACAAGCACAGAAATTCCAATTACTTTCGAATAATTCAAATGGAGGAACTTAACAGTTAGCACGCTCAAAGTTTCAATCTAAGCATACAAAAGATGAAGAATTTGTGAGTTGGGGACCAAAAACGAAACTTTGTCACAAAATTTGACAGTTATCTAAAAACTCACATCACTAACTAGTAACTCCCCTCAGAAAACTTATGCATGTGCTAATAACCGCAGAGTCATTATACTTGCAGGGGACAAACGGCAGAGAAATGCAAATTTGACAAATACAGCTTTTTGAGATTACCTTCAAATTTTGGTGTTGCAGAGAGTGTGAGAGTTTTCAAGGGACGAAAACGCGCGCCGCCGCGGACCTGAGGGAAATGGGAGGACTAGAATTACGCTCTGCTTTCTCTTACCGAATATTAACCCTATACTAGCCGTCGGATTGGTTAAGTTGTGTGCCTGTATCTCGAGATCGGATGGCTGATACATGTCGTTTATAGGCTGAAACTATGATATGGAATCCCTTACTGGGTCCTCTAACCGTCACCTCTTTTTTTATTTCGTTAGCTAAAAAAGAAAAAAATGAAGCCTGAAATTATTGGGTTTACGGTGAAGCCCATTGGGGCATGCTTTGGCCCAAAATGTTCGTGGGTCCTGCCTACTCTATTAGATACTGTTTAGAGAGACCGTAATGAGGGTTAGTTATAGTGATTCAATTAATTGCAGAGTTATTATTGGATGGTTGGGTTCAATCCTCAACATGTCCATAGCGGCCTCACTATAGAAGCTCCCGAGAGGTGTCTCCCAGCAATTTTCTTCCGGATCTGCTCAGTTATAAGAATGTCACCGTGTTGGTTTCAAAATAATGTGCATGTCTGAAATGTCCCACAAAATAAACTATTGAACATCTTGGAATAAAATAAGCCACAACAACATACCATCTCCAACGATTTCTAGTTCTGCATAATCATTGATGTTATGAAATTTAAGCTTTACGAATCCGTACCAAAAGAGGTGGTCACAAAATTCTTCTTTATTATAAAAAATGCAAACAAATATTCATCAACTGAACTCAATTTCCATAACTAATTACACCTCAATAACTCCGGTCTTCAAACTCAAAGGCTTAACATACAAAGTTTAAACCCCCAGGTCTTCAATGAGCTACAGCATTACAAAGTTCCCTGAAATCGTGCATCGACGTAAGTGAAAAGGCCGCGAACCTGCACAAATCACATAATTGCAGCAACAGTATGTCACAACGACTAGAAATATCAAAAGTACAAAATTACTTTATATACAGATCAACAAGATGTTAGCAGCAACGCCATCAGAGGTTACAAGCCTCAGATTGGGTTGGTCATGTGCAATGCAAAACTGTGGTCGGTAGTAAGAAAAAGTTATGGACACGACCACGAGTACTAAAAGGTAAATGATGCAATGAGAGTTGAAAGTTGAGTTTCGAAGTAATAATGTTGGATTGTCTTTACACTTGTAACAATTCACAGAATGTTTTCATGACCAATGAATAGAACTTGTCTTTGCAAAAGCAAATGCTTTTTGTACAGTTTGCTCAAGTCAAATGGTGGAATTTGCTCTGATATCAAAATATCATGGCTTATTGGCAGGATCTTTTTAGAGAGTAAAGTACCGAATATCTTAGAACATAACTCATCTTAACAAAACTGGCTCGTAAAAGAGATTGAAGATGTAACTGTCTTTAAAAAACTCGCTTGGCAGGATCTTTTGAGAGAGTAAAGTACTGACCATCTTAGAACTTAACTTGTCTTTACAAACCGTACTTTCAATTTAAAAGTCTCATTCTGCACAAGAGGAGCATAAGCAAGGATCGATCTGGAGTGTAAGGGTATTTTTAGAGAGTAAATGTACTGAACACTTAGAACTTATTTTCACACACCTCACTGGCAGAGAATAATGCATAAGAGCATTTGGGACAGGACATCTTTCTTAACATTCACACTTACCAAACACTGGGGTGCAAAATCACAAGAAGGAGAAGAACAAAAACAAATAAGGCTCAAATCGGATACAGTCGGATAGTTCCAGGTAAATCAAGAGCTAACCCCCATTTCAAAACCAATAATGTTCGCTAGTAATTTTATAATTATATCTATCTGTGCATTAAGCTCGAAGAAGATCACTACCTATAATGAATAAATAAAAGTAGCTCTACAGTCTTATGCGGGGTGGGATTGTAAAGATATATAACCTCGCCACAAAAGAAAGTGAGCACTGAGAGATAGGTTAAGCTAAATAAGCACTATATCTAGTAAGGCATTTTCCCCATAAGGGAAAAACTAACACTTAGGATTAGTAAGATATACAAAGAAACAAAACAATCAGTGACCCAAATCAAAATATGCTAAGTTGCCATTACAAAGTAAAGGCCTTTTATGAATCCCAATAATTCCTAGGGCCAAAGCTATACTGCATGAGACCAAAAATTTCTATTTTCATTTCTTTGCGCACACCACAAGTACTCAGAAACCAGACAAAGCATCATTCATGTCCATTGAATCCAACAATTACCCAGGAAAAAAAAAAAAAAAAAATTGTGGCCACAGAACCTATTAATCAGACATAACCAATAACCCCAATAAAACCCAGACCCTAAAGACTAACAAAACCCCAAAAAAAAACAAGGATAAATGCTCATAGTTAGTGTAGTAGATAGGGTACGGTACCTGGAGACGAACCAATTCTAGTGCTTGATTTACTTGTGAACCTCCATGACGCTCTTGAGCTTTGGAGCGTAGAGAGAGTAAACAACAGCCTGCCGATTGGCGACCTCGAACTGAGCCTTGCCATCTGAAAACGCAGCGGAAATGGCAGATGGGTCCGTGAGGTTCCGATTCTGACGAAACGCGTCGATGGTTCTGCGTTTCGTGTACTCTCTGATGTTGTAGTCTGTGAATTTACGAGCCACGCGAAGAAAAGAGCGGAAAAGCGTGAGCACCTCCGCTCGAGAAGGAGCTCCAGCCGCTATACTCATATCGAAAATGGCGCCTCCTCTAAGCTTCTCTAGAAAACCAGAAAGAGCGAGAGATAGTTCAACTCTGAACGAAGGTTTGAGGCTTTCGTTAATAGAGAACTTCCCAATATTGGTGGGATAAAACGCAGCGTTTCATAGCTGCGACCTTTTTTGTTCTACTATATTGACTAGTTGACGAACCATGACCGTTGGATGAATAATAATCACAAAGCGACCGTTAATACTCTCAAATGAAAAATTAGCGCCAATTGACTGATGAATGGCCCAAGACAAGCTTTTGCCAAAGCCAAGCACGTCCTCAGTACCAGCCCAGCCACTCGATCCCTCACCAGAACGAAACAATTCCATGCCCACACCATCACATCAGGCCTTCTCTCACCGCAACTCCACGCAAACCTTGCAAGGTTGTATGCTTTATGTAGTCACGTTCCATATGCACGCAAACTGTTCGATGAATTGCCTGACCGGAGCTCATTTTTATACAATACGGTGATAAGAATGTATGTATGCAATGGCTTACCCTATGAGGCACTTAACGTGTTTTCTCAGATGCTGGCCCTAGGGCAGAGCTGCCCGGATACGTTTACGTATCCTGTTGTTATTAAGGCATGTAGTGACTTGTCTTTGGTTGATGTTGGTGTTGTCATTCATGGAAAAACAGTGGTTTCTGGGTTTCATTTGGATGTGTTTGTTCAGAACACTTTTCTGGCGATGTATATGAGTTGTGGGCAGAAGGAATCGGCAAAAAGGGTTTTTGATGCAATGCAGGAACGAAGTGTGGTGTCTTGGAATACCATGATCAGTGGCTACTTTCGAAATGGGTGTGCCAAGGAAGCTTTGAATGTTTTTGATTGGATGATGAATGTGGGTGTGGAGCCGGATTGTGCCACTGTGGTTTCTGTGTTGCCGGCTATTGGTTACTTGAAGGCAATGGCGTTGGGAAGACAAGTTCATGCCTTTGTGGAAGAGAAGGGTTTGGGGAAGATGATTACGCTGTGGAATGCATTGGTGGATATGTATGTAAAGTGTGGTAGCATGAGTGAGGCACGATCAGTTTTTGATAACATGGCTGAGAGAGACGTCGTGACATGGACAACTATGATCAATGGGTACATTTTGAATGGTGATGCAAGAGGTGCACTGGGGCTTTGTTGGTTGATGCAGTGTGCAGGTGTAAAACCCAATTCCGTAACAATAGCTTCTCTTCTTTCGGCCTGTGGGAGTTTGCATCTGTCAAAGCATGGACGGTGCTTGCATGGCTGGGCTATTAGGCAAAAGCTTGAATCTGATGTTATAGTGGAGACTGCTTTAATTGACATGTATTCAAAAAGCAATTGTGTTGACCACAGCTTTCAAGTGTTTGCACACACTTCAAAAAAGAGAACGGTTCCCTGGAATGCAATGATCTCTGGCTGCATTCATAATAGGCTTGGGAGAGAAGCGATAGGACTTTTCAAACAGATGCTCGTGGAAGCAGTACAGCCCAATGAAGCAACCATGAACAGTCTCCTTCCTGCATATTCCATTCTTGTTGATTTTCATCAAGCAATGAATATACATGGTTACCTAATAAGATCTGGTTTTCTTTCATGTATTGAAGTTGCTACTGGTTTGATTGATTCATATTCGAAGTGTGGAAATTTAGCATATGCTCACCAGATTTTTAATGAAATCCCAGAAAAGGACAGGGATATTATCCTATGGAGTGTGATAATAGCTGGTTATGGAATGCATGGCCATGGTGAAGTTGCTGTTTCACTTTTCTATCAGATGGTTCAATCTTGGGTGAGACCGAATGATGTCACTTTTACCTCTGTTCTTCATGCTTGCAGCCATGCCGGTTTGGTTGATGAAGGCTTGGGATTGTTCAGGTTCATGCTTGAAGATCGGAAAGCGAGTCCTCAGGCTGATCACTACACATGCATTGTTGATCTTCTTGGTCGAGCAGGTCGGTTAGTTGAAGCTTATGATCTGATTAGAACAATGCCGTTTCAGCCTAACCATGCTATTTGGGGTGCACTACTTGGTGCCTGTGTGATACATGAGAATGTTGAACTGGGAGAGGTGGCTGCTAAGTGGCTGTTTGAGCTTGAGCCAGAAAATACAGGAAATTATGTGTTGATGGCTAAAATCTATGCTGCAGTGGGAAGGTGGAAAGATGCAGAAAACCTGAGACATATGATGAACGAAATAGGGTTAAGAAAAACACCAGCTCACAGTCTGGTTGAGGTCAGAAATATGTAAAAAAGCAATAATGTGATAGTTCTTTACTCCAAGTGGGTAAAAATCAAGGCTTCAACTAAAGCATCTAGTCAAAACAGAAACTTGTAGTCCAAGTAGAGTTTCATACATGAAACATTTGTATCCAACACAACACTTGATCAAATGGAGAAGTGGGATGTCTTCTCAAAGAGTTCATATGCACAAGCTTCATATATTTCTTCTGGTGAATTAGATTAAATCATTGCTGCAGCAGTGTGAGTTTTTATAATCATTTTGGGTAAAGAGTTCGAGATTACTCCAGGAAGGCAATTCGTTACAAGATAGATCGTACTAAACTTTGGAAGGCCCTAGCCTGATCAGTGGCTCTGAGGTACTCAAAGAACATCTTAACTGGGATGTATGTTGCAAAATGTGATGTAAAGATTACATGTATCTGCAAGAACTTGACTTCAACTACTTCTTTTTTGGTTGATTATTTTTGTTGGCGACATAGTCAATTTAGATCATTTTGGGGTCTACTTTATTATGTCAGAATATGCTTTTAGGCCCACATATTCTTCTGCAAGGCTACCAGCATGTGTAGGACTTGAGAAAAAGATTAGACAATAAAATCTGAGATCTAGATGTCGGTGTGGCTACCTTTTTTGCAAGCCAAGGCTAATCAATTCAAATGCATTTTCCCATCCCACGGTATCAAATTTTGGTCATAAACAATTCCCTTTCCTAATTTTTATGCCCTTTTTTATAATTGCACGACACCAAAATTGGAGGACTGCCAAAAATATAATATGCATCCAGTCAACATTACGCGTCTTTGTTAGGGGGAGATTTACTAGTAATTCTTCCTAACTCTGGAAAAAAAGATAGGCCAACTTTTGTGCAAAGAATAACAAACCCACCAGATCATCAGATCTCATAGGTTAAAGATGGGCAATATAGATAAACACTTGTGTGAAACGGGGATAGTATTGTGTTGCTATTCATGATCAATCATGACATGCTACACATGATAACTTTTCCATGTGGTAATCTGTGATTGACTAGGAATAGCAAAACAGTGCTATCTTCATTTCATACAAGTTTTTCTTAGGCAATATGACTCAACCGACACAGGTTACATTTTATTTTGGTCTCAAAAGCAGACTCGGCACTTGGTCATCTGGGTATGAATGCAAGTTTGGAGGGATGGTACATTGGGTATTCGTAGTAGATAGGTACCTATGGGCCAACAATAGCCTATAGGTGGGAGCAAATAGAATACATTATTAAACACATCCTTTTGTTTTAATTCAGGCTCTCATTTGGTCCTCATTCAGTATTATCAAACAAAATTAGATATGTGTAATTATTCAATATTTTTGTTTCCGTGAGGGTTTGAACTTAAAACGTTTACAACTTATTTCTTACTCATTTTTTTATTATCATACAATTCGTGCCCGTTTAAACGTCCATTTTACATTTTTCAGCAATTTGGGTGCTGATGCTGACTAAACTGAATTTGCTTGCCAACTTAACAGTCTTTCTACCAATCTAAATTTGCACTAGTTTGATTTGGCACAAAAGCTAGCCCTAATGTGCCCTAACAACACTACATATATAGTGCAGAAACTATACAAAAAGGTCCCATGACCCACAGGTTACCTAGTTTCATTCTTTTAGTAATAAATAACTCACCTGCTGCTCCTTTTGTACATCAACCTCTCATATCTAATGTGGGAGGAGGTTGCATTAAGACTTTAGGAAGCTTCCAATCCCAATTACCAAATGGGTTTACTACTTTAATTTCTTGCATTACTTGTTCTAATCATCTGTCTATTATTGCTAAATGAGAAATCTAATCAAATACGTCATTGACGTGCGGCTATAGTCCACCGATAGCCCCATTAACATTATTCTAAGTAGTGATGTTGTTCTTACTTTATTTGGGAAAGTTTTATTTCCCATAATAAGCCAATAAGTTTGCGCAATTGGGAATGGCCGGCAAACGGCACAATTTGATGCCGGAAAACGACAGAGGTGAACAGAAAAAGGCATGAAGCATAGCATGGATTGGCTGGCTGGCCTTTCAAGCGTTGAACTTGAAGCCTAATGAAAACTCCAAAATAAATCCAAGTAATGAACTTTGCTCTCAACAGTGACAATAGTCGACGTTGTTGTGGCAAATTAAAAGAGAATGACCTTTTAATATTCTCAAACATGTCATAAAAAAAGAGAGAAGAAAATGGTTGCTATGCTTGTGCCGACCACAAGAGTAAACATGAGGCCCACCGTGCTAGACAAATTGATCCATTTATATAGGCACGACCTGGTGTGCCCTGACATTAAAGAGTCGTATGATTTTTCTTCCTTCTTGTGGCTGTGTGCTTAACGTATAAGAATATCTCACTTAATGGGTTTGATTGTTCTGTGCATTATTCATCTGACTTCCATGACATGAAATGTCATGACTTAAGACCCCGTGGCAATGACTTTTGTCTCTCTTTTTTTTTTCTTGGGAAAAAAAGCTAGCAATAAATCTAGCCTCCCATTAAACTTTGATTTGGCACCCTATCAGCCCCAAGTAGCATTGTTTCTTTGAGTGCTTATTAGTGACTTGCATGACATGCAATGTTAACACTTTAGATCCTCGTAGATATGAATTTTGAGGATATATCACCCATGCTAGCCTCCTGTCAAGCTAGATTAACTTGTGCTTCTATGAATCCTTTGATTCATCGTCATGCTCTATTGATACATTATACAATCTATCATGTGCGCAAATAATGCTTTTTTTTTTCTTTTATGCAAGAAGATATATATGACTTTTTTGACATGTTTATTTGCGTTCATAGAATAAAAATGAGCGCTGTTTATAATAAACATCTGAATCTCGCCCTTATTGAAATACAAGCACTATTTTATCTTCAATACTTACCCAAGTAATTATCTTAATCAACCAAAAAATAGAAAGAAAAATAAATAAACTTAACCACACAAATTACATATCCTATCTTAAAATGCATGCCCATAAACACAGGAGATTTATTTCTAAATTTAGCACCCAATTATCACCCCACTCACTCTCTTCGTCCCCTACCATAACCTCAAAGGTCAAACCACTCACTCTCTTCTCTCTCTAAGCCCAACACGGTTTTGAGTTTTGACTTAAAAATAAATAAAAATCAACATTGAAATTAAAATTAAAATTAAATTGCTTTGTTTTTTGTAATTAGCAATACTTTATTATTTTCCGGGAAAACGAAATTAGATCGGACTGATCAACCAATCAAAGAGGTCCTCACATACCCGGAATGGAAAACTTTGCACGAAAACAAAAACAGAAGCAAAAACCCAATTTTCTCTCTCTTCATTCCCTCTCTCTTTCTCTGTCTCTCATCACTCTCTCTCTTTGATCCATGCTTCCCGACCCAGAAACCCAAATAGATTGTTTGGTTGAAATCTCAGATTAATTGAAGAAAGAAAAATAAAACCCAGTTGTTGAATCTCCAATGCGGTCTTCCAAAAGACCACAAAGAAGCAAATATTTGAGCAAGGGCCATAGATCTGAATTAGGCAGCGTTGAATCTCAGAGTGGGTATTGTCGGTGGGGGATTGCTATTGGGGTTTGTGGGTTTGGATCTAATGGTGAGGGCATGGGTGGTAGTGGCATTAAGTTGGGGTGGTTTCGGTGCTATAGGTATTGCTAGGGTGTTGAACAAGAAGGAGGGGCTGCATAGACGACGATGCAGCTTCACTTCTCGCCTAGTATGAGAAGCATAACGATCTCGAGCAGCAATGGGTTTATTGACTTGATGAAGATCAAGGTCGCAGCTCGCCACATCTCTTATCGAACCGTTTTCCACACCATTCTAATCCTCGCTTTCTTATTGCCCTTCGTCTTCATTCTCACTGCTGTTGTTACTCTTGAAGGTGTCAACAAGTGCTCCTCATTTGGTACTCTTTTTATTTATTTCTTCAATTCCCCAATTGCTATCTCAATCCCAAATTTTTATTTTTTGGTTTTCTTCGTGTGTATTGGTTTGTTTATGATATTAATGGACGGATCTTGACTTGCCCATTTCATGTTTATTGTTATTGTTGGCTTGCTTGGATGAACCCGATTCATTGGTTTTGTTAACTGGGTCCATTTGATTCACATCGAAATCAAAATCAAATCAAATCAAATTCTGGTTGTTGGGTTTCCGCATATTCGATTCCTTTTATTCAGAGTCTGTTAACATTGGAATTCTATGCCATTGCGTTGGATTGGTTATCTAGTTCTGCAGTATGTCACATATTTGGTTAGATTTGAGGTGGATAAATTGTTTATGGGCATTTAATGTGTTGATTGGTTGGATATGAAGTAAGATTTAAAACATTCTGTATGGTATGGCAAATAAATTGTAACTGATTCATTAAATCATCATCACCAATTTCATATTTTTAATCCATGCTAAAGCATTTTTTGAATTCAGTTTCTGAACTGGAACCATCTGTTATGATCTTAGGGATATTAGTTATAATTTTCTTTTTCAGTTCATTGCCTTCAGCCATTTGAACTTGATTGGTCAAATCAGTTTGAGGTATTGTCTTGATTTGTTGATTCAACGTTAATATTTCCTGGTTGATGATAAGATTATGGATTTGTTGTGTTGATATGGTATATCATTATTATGTTGATGTGGTATAACATTATTCTTCGTTTCATTTTAGTTTCTATCAATATTTAGCATCTAATAGTTGGATTTTCATTTGTGCTATTTATTCTACAAAAACTAAGTTGGAGAGAGAATAACATGTACTGCTTGGTTAACCAAATCAACAGAATGGCATGTACTGCTTGGTTAACCAAATCAACAGAATGGCTGCTAAGCTTGACCCCATATTTTTTATGTGTTCAAGAAATTTTGGAGTAGGTTAGGTATCTCTGATAGTTCAACCCCAAATTTTGAATTCTAGGTGTTTCTTTGCTTTAGTTCTTTAAGTTTGTCATCCCTATCAATGGATCTAAGTTCTTCTCTTACTTTTGATACTTTAACCATCTATAAGTTTTCCATAATTGATTCTCTGGTTTTATAGAGCATCAAATTATTTATTTATTTATTTTAATAGTAACATTGTGTTTCTTCGGTCATGGACCACAATTTTTCTGTAACCTCTGGTATTGAATTTGTGATTTTATTGTTGCTTTACTCCTGTGCTTCAGATTGTTTAGGTAGGCGTTTGGGACCAAGGCTTCTGGGTAGGGTTGATGATTCAGGGGTAAATAACTTTTTCTCCAAATGCTGTAATTTCTTTATTTTTTTTCCCGACATTATATTTAAGTTTTGATTTGGGTTAGCAACTCTATTGAATGATTACCTAAGCTGGATCTTCATGTTGTGGTGACGGCACAGCAGAGACTGGTTAGAGACTTTTACAAGATTCTAAATCAAGTGAACACTGAAGAAATCCCAGCTGGTCTGAAGCTACCAGATTCATTTAATCAACTTGTTTCTGAAATGAAGAACAACCAGTATGATGCAAGGACCTTTGCTTTCATGTTAAGAGCAATGGTATGTTGTGTGTTATAAGAAACATGGTTTTATACATGTTTTGTATCATGCATTATCTTTTTGGGAGTGGTAGTGTTGGAGTTGTTCCTAATATGGTCATATCACATCTCATTATTGCAGAGAGATTTGTGGGAAGGGTGGTCTATTTGTGTTTGTGGGTGTGAGAGAGATAGAGAGAGCACCATTAAACCTAACCCCCCCTCCCCCCTAAAAGAAAAAAATAACCCTTGTTAACTGTGGGAACTTTAAGAATAATCTTGTACTGTTTTTGTGTGTAGATGGAAAATTTTGAAAGGGAAATCAGAGAGTCTAAGTTTTCAGAGTTGATGAACAAACACTTTGCGGCAAGTTCTGTACCCAAAGGCATCCACTGTCTGTCTCTACGTTTGACTGATGAATATTCATCCAATGCTCATGCACGCAAACAATTGCCTCCTCCAGAGTTACTGCCTTTGCTCTCTGACAACTCTTATCACCACTTTATCCTATCAACTGATAACATTCTGGCTGCTTCAGTTGTTGTTGCTTCTGCTGTCCAGTCATCTCTAAAACCTGAAAAGATAGTCTTCCATATCATTACTGACAAGAAAACCTATGCGGGTATGCACTCATGGTTTGCACTCAACCCTGTCTCCCCGGCTATTGTTGAAGTGAAAGGCGTGCACCAGTTTGATTGGTTAACAAGAGAAAATGTTCCAGTCCTTGAAGCTGTAGAAAATCAAAATGGGATCAGGAATTATTACCATGGGAATCATATTGCAGGGGCTAATCTTAGTTCTACAACTCCACGAACATTTGCATCAAAATTGCAGGCTAGAAGTCCAAAATACATATCCTTACTCAATCATCTTCGTATATATATCCCTGAGGTAACTCTCTTCCCTAAGTTGGAGATGTGGAGTCTTCGATACTTTTGCAATTTTTTATATATGGTTTTTTTTTACAGATGATGCTTAATATTAAAGTGGTTTCTGTTTATTTGATAATGTTCTATAAGATTTTCTTTTAATTTTGTAATGTCAAAGTGCATGTGCTGATCATGTATACTGTAACAGCTATTTCCCAACCTTGACAAGGTAGTTTTCCTAGACGATGATGTTGTGATTCAGCGAGACTTATCACCACTTTGGGAAATTGACCTTGGGGGAAAGGTCAACGGAGCTGTCGAAACTTGTAGAGGTGAAGATGAGTGGGTACTACTTCAATTTTTCGCATCCCCTTGTAGCAAAGAATTTGGACCCTGAAGAATGTGCATGGGCTTATGGGATGAATATTTTTGATCTCAGTACATGGAGAAAAACAAATATAAGAGAAACTTACCATTCCTGGCTGAAAGAGGTAAAGTAGAAGTAGTAAAGCTTCCCTTACACACTTGGGGTTTTGTTTGTCTTTTTCATTTTCTCGTGGAATGATAGATCTGGTAAACTTTGCAAATTCAGCAAGGCTCTAATGGTGATGTAAACTCTGCAGCATTGGGTTATTTTATTATAATTTTTTCTGTTCCATATTCTTTGAGGTCATTTGCAACCGTATTTTACTTATTCTTGAAAGTCAGTTATTGGCGCATAGCATATGGATTATTGCAACTTACTTTAATTGATTTTCTTGTGCAGAATCTGAAGTCAAACCTGACAATGTGGAAGCTTGGAACCCTACCACCCGCTTTAATTGCATTTAGAGGTCATGTTCACCCAATTGATCCATCATGGCACATGCTTGGATTGGGTTATCAAAATAAAACCAATCTTGAGAGTGTGGCAAGGGTTGCAGTTATCCACTATAATGGTCAGTCAAAACCATGGTTGCAGATTGGCTTTGAGCATCTTCGGCCATTTTGGACCAAGTATGTCAACTACTCGAATGATTTTGTTAGGAACTGCCACATCTTGGATTCATAGTTGATCATCTGGAGGTGCTAAAAACAGGAGATGGGACAGGAAATGACAAGAGTTATATGGGATTCATGAAGTTTTTTTGCAGCTCGAAATTTTTTCGAGATCTATTTGAGAAGACAAGCAGAAAATTCACCGATAGGGTAGAACTTCCCAGTTCAAGAATCACTTTCATCCCTTGAAATTCTGCAGACAATGACCAGCATCATATTATCACAGCATGAGATTCATTCTTTCATTCTGTAACATAGCAATCTGTCCTCATTTTTTGGTTCGGAGAAGGATAGTATTATTGGTCTTCATGGCGGGGATTTTGCATGATTCCTTAGCACATATATCAGAATAAAGTGAAATTCAGATGACAAGTGCCTTATGTCAATACCATCATACTGGTTGGTGTAGCGAAGAGAAAAGCTGGACAGGTCTTTTGTGAGGCTCTCCCATTAGCCCAGATATGTTTTTTCACTTTCATTTTTTTGCCCTTTAAAAATCTTTTCTTGTCTTCATTTTTGTTAGCACCCATTTCTTCCCCTCTTTATTTGATATCATGATGTTGAACTTTAGGAGTAGAACATGGAGATTGTTCTGTTACAGGTCCCATTGAATTGGGGAGCTGTTTTTAGGTTATATATCGGTATTTGTTTATGTACTGTTCACGAGAGATTTAAAATGTGCAGATAAATTCTTTTTCCTGGATTTTATAGTTAGTCTCATTATATTTCTAAATTCTTGCTGTTTTTATGCCCTCTGTATTCATTAGGGTTTAGTACCCTACGAAGTTTGGTATCCATGATTTCTTGTCAGCCGTCTAGAAGAAGTATAATAACCCTAGAGGATTCAACTCTGGCGGCAACCATCCGAAACGTGTACAATTTATCTGGTCATATTTTAACTGTAATGTTTTTTGAACCGTTGTGTTTGGCATGGCACCCTTGAAGATTCAGTCTTGACCTTCATCAAAGCTTTGAGAAACATTTGTCTTTCCAAACTCAAGAAGAGATTCTCTACCCAAATATTTTTCTTTATTAACAAGAGATTCTTTACGACTGGAATGTTTCTTAGTTGATGATGACAAGAAATCCATTTTGCAAATTGCATTAGACGACCAAATGTGCTAGTTTTCTGATATTTCAATGCGTATAGGGTTTCCTTTTAAGCTACCCGCATTTCCTATTTAATATAAATTAATTGGCCCACATTTGATCAGACCCTTTCGGCATTTTGCTTTCCCATAATAAAATCAAAAAAATTTAATTTTTTAAGTGAATGATTAAGGATGCATTGAGTGGCACTTAGTTGTAATTGTATAAAAAATTAATAGATTATTCCGAAGCCTACCAATTTAAATGGAAGAATCTGAGAGGTTCTTGCCTTCTTGGACATACATATAATGGTCTCATCTGCCCACCTACCCAATCATATATTGCATTTATATATTGACGTGCAGCTCATAAAATTCAGATTTTGCCCCAGTAAATATGGAATTATTATAGCCTAGTGTAGTGGTTCGGAGCATTTACTCTCCCAAGCAAGGTTCTGGATTCGAGTTTAACATTCGTGTAGTGTGTCTAAATTTAATATTGTATCGCCAATCTCAATAAAAAAATCCTAAAAAAAAAAGGACCCATAATTAGTCCTCCTCCCAACCTAATTGGTGATTGCTCAAAGGCTCAGAATTCAGATGCTGCATTTTGTTATAGGCATGACCCAAAGGCCAAAGGAGAATGTTGAAGACAGTAATGTTTGTATGTTTGTCTTCTTGTCCTTCCACCAGCCATCAGCCTGTGTGTCGACATAGAATGAGATAACTTCAAAATCATAACTTCATTATTGACAGATATGTGAGATAACGACCATTCTCCTACTACCCCCACACCCCCCTTCAATTTTTGGGCCACCAATCCATTCTACCTTTTTATTTATTTTTCAAGTTTTTTATTTTATTATTAAAACTCTTTTTGAGTGAATTTTTCTACCATGCGAATTCACATTAAATAAGAACACATTTGTCGTGGTTACACGTAATTTCATTATTGTTTTACTAATGTGTAGGTAAATCACAATTCATTGGATTCTATTTCGCTAAATGGGAAATTTTCACGCTGAAGATAGAATTGAGTTGGGTCTTAAAGAACGGTATTATTGGGTCATGAACAATGAACCACAAAGCATGTACGTGAATGTACATGTAAGGTAAGTTGTTGAGTGTCTGATTTACTGTATTGTCACTAATGTGACATTGGAAGTTGGCACTTTAACCCCAAAAGAAGAAAAGGAAATGAAAATAGATAGACTTTGGAATTGGAAGTTTAGCAAAAGCCAAAGGGTCACACTTTTAAAAGGAGAGAAAATGTGTCCATTTCCATAGCCTTTGGAGATTGCAAGGAGAAGGCAATGGAGTCATTGACCACAGATTTAGAAGACTTTGAAAACTCCGAAACAGCCTCGTTTGTCTCCGGGAACTTCTTACTATTTGATCTCTTCCACTCTGACGTCCCTTATTAATTATACCAAAAATCCCATTTTATTTCTTCTTCGCTTGGATTTCTGAACCACTTGACTGTTCAAAACATACAGAAGGACCCAGATCAGTTTCACAGCCAAGTAAGACAAAACCATCAAAGTTTTTCCATTTTTCTCTGGTCTTTGCTTTGTGCTTGTTTTAGAGCCGACCCAGTTGAGATTTCCTGTAGCTTTTTAGATTCTAATAGCACCCATTTGAAGCTTTGCTGGTTTAACGGATGCTAACAGCTAAATCATAGCTGTTTTTTATTTTCCTCTATGTACTGATTTCAATACTGAATCACAGCTCATTTTCTTTGCTTGAAAGTAGAAGGCTTTAATCACCATATACAAATATACGCGTCCAGAGTTTAAAGTGTTTCCTTATTTGTCTTGGTCTTTATTCTAAGATTGTTGCAAATTTACATAGTTTATATTGTTTCCTTGTTTATATTCTCGTTGACCAATTGGAGAATTCGTTGTATCGATTGCCTGTAGAAAAACCCGAGACGCTGGGATTTTAATTCTTTTGAACAAGTAGAAATCCTTATACTTACGAATTCTTTGAAGATGGCTGGGGTGCAAGATCAATTGGAGATCAAGTTTCGGTTGACTGATGGATCAGATATTGGCCCCAAAAGTTTTCCTGCTGCTACAAGTGTTGTAACCTTGAAGGAAAGCATTCTTGCGCAATGGCCTAAAGGTTGGTTTTTTCAATTTTCTTTAAAAACCAAAAACTTCTTAGCTTTCTTTTTTGTTGGGTGTTTGATTGCAAAACAAATCAGTCTCAGCAAGCTTATATGTAAAGGTTACAGGAGGGACTTGGAATTGGTTAACGTCAGATCATAGTTCATATCTCTGTTCTATGTTAGAATTTTCTTTGAAGTGATAACTTAAACCAGAACAGGATCTCTTAAATAAGTGACTATGGGATAGTCTTCTCAACACTTGATATTGTGAACCTGTGTTGTCTTTGCAGTTCAATTTTTTATTGGCTCTAGGTGTACTTCTTGGTAACTTAGGTGCAATGTTTAGTTTCATTTGCATGACATGTTTATTACCCTTGAGACATTCTAACTGACATCTCCGCCTTCTCACTTTTTCCTTTCGTTTTCTCATAAACCTTTTCTGAATTGTGTGCTCAAGTGTTCTTATGCTCTCTTTAGGGAATTTGAGGTTGACAAGTTAATTATTGTGAAACCAAGGTTGTGCCAGTTCCATTTGTGGTTCTGCGGACACAGCTTTCATATGAACAACCAAGCCAATGGTTAAAGACTTAAAAGCACCTTAGAGCTGCTTATGTTACGTGGGCTAGTGATTGAGGACATATACCATTCCTTTTACAGGCAGCCTTTTTTAAGGTGTTAAATCTCATCGAACTGAAATGATTTTCTACTAAAGACAAGTTAACTGTCTTGGTACTTCTCTCCTACTTGCACTTGGTATCTGAGACAATTGAGCATGGCTTCAGAGCATTAGATAGAAGCAATGACACTTTGAAATCTCTGAATCTCAGATTTCTCCCTTCTCTTTAATCTTTCTTAATTACCATTAGAATACTGCTTCTTTGTCAAAATTTGTCGGCATGCATGATGAACTTTTGTGACTTGTTTAATGTATTTGAGCTGGTTAAGCATAATATTATTGTTTTGAATCAGAGAAGGAGAATGGTCCAAGGACTGTTAAAGATGTCAAGCTAATAAGCGCAGGAAGAATATTGGAGAACAACAGAACAGTTGGGGAGTGCCGAAGTCCATTATGTGATGTCCCTGGTGGAGTTACAACTATGCATGTCGTTGTTCAACCACCTTCATTGGAGAAAGGTAAAAGTATATTCTGAGGCTTCAGAACCAAAGTTTTCTATGTAAACCACTGTGTGAAACTAGAAATTACCGAAGTTTTCTTTTCATGTTTTTGTTTCTGGCTAAAGTCTCAAAGAAGATATAGTCTCTGTTACTTTCTATTAAACTATAAAGATCGATCCTTTTTTTTTTTTTTTTTAATAAAAAGGGGGAAAAAAATTTTTTCTTTTTTTTTTTTTTTTTTTTTTGTTTTAAAAAAAGGGGTTTTTTTTTTTTTTTTTTTTTGCGGGGGTATATTTTTTTCTTGCCAAACTAAGCATTTTATCTGATTTTTATGGGCTTGAATAGAGATCATGTGTATAACATCAAGAAGGTTTTTTTTTTTTTGTTTCCTCCGTGGTGGTCCTGTTTGAGGGAAATGGATAAAGACTAGGCAATGACAGATTTTTGTGAGGTTCACAAATACATGCTGTTGTTGTCACTCATAGTTGTTAGGCCAGCACTTCTTTTATTGGCCACCTCCTGAATAGGAGAAACACCGAAAGAAGGCCTGAATCATCTAACTACATGTCATGAGTCATGACAAGTAGAGATTGTTTTTTTTTTTTTATGCTTCTACATGATCTATAATTAAATGTGTATCTTTCAATTGAAACAGAAAAGAAACTGATGAGCGAACCGAAGCAGAACAAGTGCGTTTGTGTTATATTATAACTTTTTCTCTTCAGATAGTGGGGATAACATCATTTTTCGGTGGGTGTATATACTTCTATCCCTTTCAATGCTTATCTTCTCTTTTTGCGCCTCTAAACTTCACCGAATCTCAACCTTTATAATGTATTTCTCTTCATTTTCGAGGATAGGTAAAGAGGGTTGGAGCTAGTAATGAAAATGAAGTTGGTAAAATTGCACAGATTGATTCAACTCGGTTGGAATTATGCAGGCTTGCTGTCAAAGGTCACAGTTTGGTGCAGGTCCATCATCATACTCTGTTGTCAAGTCCATGAGACTATGCTACATCATGCACTCATATATAATATTTTTATGTAAAGAGTTCTTGTGGTACGGTATCGACCTTATTTATTTTCAAATTTTACACTTGAAGAAGTTGTTTCATTCACAATGTAAATTTTTGATGCTATTATCTTGAATCATATTTTGTCAACAAGGAATTGCCAAAGCTCTTCAGAGGTTGGGCTCCAAGTTCCAACAGATTGCTATGCTCCTCAGCTTGGGTCATAAGCAAGAGTTTGTTTTAGGAAAAGATCTTAAGAACTAAAGAAGTTTGTCATGTAATCCGGCAACGGCGCGGCTATAATGAGGGGGATTTTGTGCGGGGTTTATTTGAGGGGGCTACCTTGCTGGCCATTAGTTTTGGGAGGTAACAAAAGATGGGTTCGGTTAAGGGCTGGTGCTCCTGTCATCTGGTCATCGGCTCCATGTTAAGCCAATAGATTTTGCTCAACATGGATCCTCCACATTGATACCCTCCAAAGAGAGAAGGCTACAACAACTACACCTAAACCTCCAAAGAAAGAAAGGCTTCTCGTTCCTCCAATAAATTGGGCAACCAAGTAACAATTATTAAGAATTGGGTGTGCACTGATCTTAACTTGTGAAACCCAGTTGGGGATTTGGAGTGAGAAGCGTTTGAATATTTTCAGTTGTTTGATTGTTGAGCCAACATCCCTCCAAGCTATCCAAGAAAAACCCATCAATAATGAAGAATCTTAGAACTAAAATAAAACATCAAACCAAGAAAAACCCATCTTTCAAATTTTTAGTTTTTGTCAAAGCTTGAGTTAATGTTTAGTGGACCAGAACCTGTTTATGTTTTTTGAATTATAAGGTTTTAGACGTACGCTTTAAGCTTTTGTACGATTAGTTCCTGAGTTGACTGGAATTTGGAGTAATTTTACTTTTTACACTTACTTGAGCCTTTAATATATATATATATATATATATTCTCGAAGAGGAAAATGGCCATAGCTGAAGGGCTTTTATTTTGATGAAGACTTCTCACTCGAAAAATAAAAAGGAATATTTATTTGGGAAAAAGAAGCTGCTATATGATGGAGAAATAAAATAGATGGATGCAAGCGTCAACTTCAGAATGGGCAAGCCTCTCATTCATGTTCAATAACAATGATATCCAACCTCTGGATGTACAATGATAAGATCCAAACAGACTGGCTTCCCTTCTATAAGTTCTTAATCATTTAAGGTTAGCACTTTCATGGAGAAAAGAAAACTATACGTCTGATTTTGAGAGAGTTAAATGTGACTTTACCACCACCACAACACTCTTCCCAGCCTAATCCGTACAACTGAGCTTCTATCAATATATAGTTAGCAGATTGTACTCCATTGTTCCCAGACAAATAATTTTCATGCTAACACCTTACCACCACCACCACAACACTCTTCCCAGCCTAATCTGTACAACTGAGCTTCCATCACAATCTGGAGACGACGCAAGAAGTCCTACTTATAGTTAGTTCTTGCAGCTAAACTTCCTTCCAACTTGAGGCAACACCTTCAAACAAGATGAGTCCTTCCAAGGACAGAAGCTTCCTTCTTGGGCCACATTCTAACAGAAGTTTAAAACAATTAGACAAATCGATGCAATTAGCAGAGAATGCAAAAGTCATCACTGGGCGTAACTGAGAGAGAAAATGTGCATGATGCAAAGTAACACATGCCAATTCATGCACCAACATATAAACAATGTAAAGGCATGTCAATCCGTGCATACGCCATGTGCATGACCAATGCTGCTTTGGTTAGTAGCTGCTGTGAGAAGAACTGTGTTGTGGATGGCCTGGCTAATTGGAGCTACAATATGGATTTAGGGGTTTGTATGTTTGAGGATGCTCCCGTTTGGATTAGTTCCCTGTTAGCTGATAATTTGGTAGATCTCGTTTGTTTTCTTCTGATGTAGGTTAGTTGGTTGTTTTCTGGGGCTTTGCCCCCTTTGTTCATAAAAAATAAAATAAAAAATTCCCCCAGTACTTTGAGAAAGAAGTCTATGTCAAAATGGGTACTGAAAACTGGACGAAAATTGCAATCAACCCCAACAAAATTCTAGTGAGTGTATCACCACATTGAATGTCAACTAGGGATTGCCACATTACACCAAATCCTTTTCCCACCTTTTTCTAATGGATGGTTTGCTAAACAAATAGTTCGGCTAACAAGATACCCGTGTACCAAGCACACACAGGCAACAAGATATAAAAACTAACCTTCAGCCAGTAGAAAAATCCACGCAAAAGATTCAAAATTCTAGGGCAGTTGCCGCTAGCAGCATCAAGCTTTCTTGCTAGGACTGCAAGATTAGAAAACAAATTAATTAGACGTTAAATACAATAAATTGAAAGAATGCAAAACTGGTAAGTTGTACACAGAAGCATCTAAAACAATAAGTTTCAAAGAAACCATGGAAAATTTAAAAAAAAATTATTTAAAAAAAAAAATTAAAAAGTCATTAAAGAAATCATGTTGGAAAACACTCCCACTCCAAAACAGATGACCTACATAAGATAGCAGTCCTCATTAAATGAGCTAGAAAGCATATGTACGCAAAGGCAATGGCATTACACAAACAACAAGGCCTTACACCATTAATCAATTTACATTTTGTGCACGCACAATATATTACTGAACTTTTAAGTCATTAATATTTAAACCTAAACCAGGCAATAGAAGTACATATAAGGCATGAACGCAGCAGGATTGACCCATAATGGGTCCAATCCAACTCTGGGGACCAAATCTAATAGGGCCCCAGTTCATCCCTCAAAAGGTTGCAAGGAGGGGCATGAGCATTCTAACTCTAGAACTTCCCAATCAACAAGAATCAGAGTTCTATATAATCTAAATATTCATAATAGTGTATGAAGCATCTAAATCCTTGTACTTCTGGTATTAATATGTAAACAATGTAAAATATGAATCTAAAGGAAAGGATCAGACCACATTATATACCCAATGCCCAATTCAGTTCATTTAACATGTATACACGCAGTGGAGCATACAAAATCCTAGACTTCCTAAATATAAGAGAATCAGCGGCCACAAAAAAGTTCATATTCAGCATACCTCATATGTACCCAAAAAACGAAGAAGAAAAATGATCAGTTGCACGCATAAACAAATGCATTTTAAAGAAAACAAACCTATGTGCTGCTTTCGATATGAAGCCCTTAATTTCCCTGACACTGACCTTCGTCGGTTCAGTTGTTTCAAGAGCCTTTTATACTCTTTTTCATCATAAGGCCGTTTAAGATCCTTCATAAGCCCCTTCCTAAACTGGGCATGACTTGTTTCACAAGTTTCAATGCACCATCCACCGTCTACCCCCACCTTTTTATTTCAAAGAATTAAAAGTAGAAACAACCATTAAAAAAATATCAGAAGCCACAAATTAATAGCATGCACATGTGTGTATGCGTGCATGTGTATGCACGTGATAGCATAAACTAGAAAAACAAACCAAAGCTGAAACAGGGAAGATGCATACAACTGTAGATGAGGTAAAATACTCATCGCATGGTTCTTTCTTAATTTCTACAGATGAACTCTCCACATCCTCCTCAAGTACACATGCCACTGGTCCAGCAGTTGTAGGTGTATACACCCACTTTCCACCGTATTTTCTTAGACCATCTAGAACCTCTTGATAGTCCAAGTCTATTTGATCAGACACAGCTCCATGGTTGTGTCCATGCTCGGCCAAATGAGGTCTTTTAACAGGATGCCCCTTTGTCCTACCATCTGCACCTTTCTTATTTACTTTCTTCTTCTTCAAATGAGAACTTTTAAAAGTTTCTCGAGTAGTGGGAACCTCTACACCATGCATTTTATTAGAACGCCCTTTTGTCCTATCGGAAAAAGGATCCAGAGCTTCCACTTTTACATTCTTCTTCACCCCTGAACTCTTTTTATTTGGCAGACCCTCTGAATCTTCCAGAATTCCCCTTGTTTTTTTCCTCATAGCATACCTAACAGTTCTTGGGCTAGCTTTTTTTATTTCAGTCTTCTCTTTCACATGAGATATTGATATAGGACAGGGGTGAATTGCCTTTCTTTTGTAAATCCTAATGGGTTTGACAAAGATGCCCTCATCAGATTTTTTCACAGTTTCTGGGGTATCTAAATTGGTCTCGTCTAGTTCCCCATCTTCTTGTTCATACTTTATCCGCTCCAAATTCTCATTCTCTCGAACAACCACCAATACATAGGACTTTCCATCTTCCTTCAGATTTTCCAATAATATCTTATACTGAGGATCCACATCATCATCAAAATCATCGCTATCCACAGACCTACCATTTAGGTTGACATCACCATGATCCATCAACTGAGCATTAGAATGAACATCCCCATCAACTATCCACCTAGTGTCATGATAATCTTGACCATCATCACCACCATGCAGATCTAAACCCTCAAGAAAAACCTTATACTCCTTATCCAGCATTTCTTCGTCCACTTGGATAGTATTAGTATAGTTTCTTCTTTTCTTCGTGGCACTGATCCAGGAATTGGGCTCATAATTCCTATCATCAGCAACGCACTTTCTCTTCCTCCACCTCGCCAACCTCATGTCATTCTCACAATCTCCCTTATAATCCGTCTTTAAACTGCTAATCTCTCTTATTCCCTTACAGGGGCGCCATTTACCAACAATCAGCACAAAAAACCCTCTTTGATTCTGTTTCAAAACACGTAGAAACAAAAATTATAAATCGATAATGCAAATATCAGAGCATTCATTGTAACCCACAAATCTGTAATGTCGATGGAACAGAAAAACCGTTTGGTTTCTGAAAAAATACAGGAAATGAAAAACCAGTGACGATCCCAATTCCTACACTTTCTTTGAACAAAATAACAATAGCCCACCATCAGTAAACCTTAAACAAGCAGTAAAGTTTAACACTTGAAGTTTATCACAATAAAAAAATAATAAAAGATTTTCCCGGGTTTTCTCAGGAACCAAAAGGAGGTCTTGGGTTGAGAAAATACGGGAAAAGAAAAAACAACGAAGATCCCAAGTTATACACTTTCTTTGAACAAAAAAAAAAAAAAACCATCATCAGTGAGACACAATAAACAAACATTAAAAACAGACTTTAACATTAGCGCAATAAAAAAGTAAATAACTTTCCCGTGTTTTCTCAGGAACCAAAAGGGGTCTTGGGATGATATTTCTTACCTAAACCCCAGCGAGGACTCCGGCGAGATCGAGTTTCACAATGAACCATAAGGTAAAGCCAAATGCATCACCCCACTTCGTGAGCTTTGGGGACTTAAGTCGACTGGCGGAGGCCTTAATAGAAATGACTGATAGTGGGAGTGAAAATGGAGCAGAGAGACCGAGAGACAGGAGAGAGAGAGAGAGAGAGAATGCAGACTCGGGTTTTAGCTTTTGTTATGGGTTATTTCAACCCGGTTGTAACAATAAGATCATTTTGACAATGCACCATCGGACGTCTATTAAGAGTCAAGACTTCCGTTGGCCAACTCATCGGCGGGCTAAGCTATTCGGCCCACTCTTGAACTTGGACCCAAGATAATCATGTTCTCATTGAATTCAGACGTTGCAATTATGTGACACTTAAAAAAGACCACATGAAACGCAAATGCGAATAA